CCCCAAAACCCCAAAACCCCAAAACCCCAAAACCCCTGCTAAAACTTCTAAAGTTTGCTATAACTTAAATAATCTAAATGGAGGCTCTAGGTGAACCTATTGGAGAAGAACCTGAAGAGAATGGTAGAAGAAGGTGTGCCATAGTGGGAATAGGGATTGGGGGGTTAGAGAAAAAGGCTTCAGAGTTAGGCTCTGAAGGTTAAGAAGGGGCTTGAGAGTGTCCTTGAGGGAATTTTTGCAGGAGTTTTGGGGACGGGTTTGTAGATTGTATGTTGTTTGTGGTAAATATGAGTAAAATCTGGTAATAACTGGCGGAATAAGGTTAAAATATTTTGTTAATTAACAAAAAACTAATAATGCAGTTTAGAGAAAATGATTCTGCTTAAAAGTAGAAAGGAGAGCTACAAAATCTGAAGAAAGGTTTATTATAATGCTTTTAAACCAGATTATTTAAAGAATCCCTTTTAAACTCGACCATGGAGATGAAGCTTTGGACAGATGTAATTTAATTTTCTATGATATTAATGAGATGATTCTATTGATGAAACAATTACATCTGCTCCCATTAGTTGATGCTAACATTTTTGCTTTGGAGAATTTACCAAAGAAAAATAAACATTTTCATCATTTACTAAATGCTTCATTTCCTCGAAGTGTAAATAAACTTATTCTTAATGCTCCTCTGTTTAAGTCGTGTAAAATTTCTTATTATTTCGCGAATATTATGCAGAATAGTTTCAGAGTTTGAAATAAAATTGAATTCGATTCATTTATATTGAGCAAAAATCAAGTGAAAAGATTAATCATATCTTTCAAACATGTAAAATTATTTACACTCATTAGATGACGGATTTCAATCCCAGAACCCCCTGATTTCAGTAAATCTCTTAAAAATGCTCAGATTTGCAGTATAAATCTTTATTCATCATTAAAGGCCCGAGTAAACAATCAAGAAGCAACTATTGAGCTATTCGAAAACCTTATTAAAGGCCTTGCTACTTCAGATGACTTAAAACTCGCTCTCAAAGAAATGAACCTCACATGAAATGGTCTTACCAAAACTGCTGCCCAAGAAATCTTAGAGTCTAACGGTTTCGGTCACATAAGCCTCACATTATAAGTTTCAGCCATTTTTACTCCTCTAGGGGTTTTGGGGTTTTGGGGTTTTGGGG